AAATGCAATGTGATAGACATGTGTTCACAGGGCCTTTCCTCTTCAGGAATGTGAGGTGTTATATGTTTGTAGCATTGTATTTGTCTTAATTTTTAGAAAATGGAAGTCTTGGCAATAGGTTACACATCTCTGGAGTTGTAGTCACTGTCATTTTTGTTTTATCCAGGAAAAAGTGTATTGTAAGGACACTTATTGTTCACCCAAGAGCTGCAAAGCAGATCTTGACTTCTGTGAGAAGCTTTCTCTGTTAAAGAACCAGCAAGCACTTCATCCAGCTTTTTGCTCTTTTTCTGCTCTGAGTTTCTCCGTAGTGGGGTGCAAATTTGGTTTGAAGTGGCACTAAGTGAGTAAGAAGCCAAGACTGCTTAAATATTGAATAGTGTTGTGGCCTCATTTGGACATACGTAATAAATATACATTTGCACATATATGTACCCCTGAACTTTCAAAGCAAAATTATTCATTTAAGATGCCCTACATTTCAGAACAATAAAAAAGCTGAACCTGTTTAAAATTAAAAAACTAGAATCATTGCCAGATGTGACATTTCCCTTCATGAGAGTTCTAAAGCTAGGTTTTAAATAATCTACTCTATTATGTCACAGCTCATATTACATTAGAAAATAAAATATTTCTTTTATTTATGTAATTTTAAAATAGCTAAATGTCATATTATTGCACAGGATTTCACTGGTAGGAAAAACAGAAACTGGAAATAAGAGATTACCTTCAGGAAAAAAATGAGATGGAACAGAAGAGATTCCCTTTTCACTAAATACTCTTTCGTGGCTTCTGATCTAGTACATATATTATCTATTTTTTAAATGGTATACTTAACATTTACAATTTAAAAAACTCCTTCATACTAGTATTAATTCACAGGCTACTTTGTTCCGAAAAGAATGAAATATTTCTTAAAAACCAAACCATTGAGGGCTGGGCATGGTGGCACATGCCTGTAATCCCAGCACTCAGGAGGCTGAGGAAGGAGGACCGCTGTGAGTTCCAGACCAGCCTGAGCTACACAGTGAGTTCCAGGTCAGTCTCAACTACATAGTGAGACCCTGTCTCAAAAATCAAAACAAAAAAAAAAGCTCAAGATTCTCATATTATCCCATCCATCTCATCCCTCTTGCTATATATTATACTCAAGCAGGCTATATGTATTACCCAATACTCTTGATTCAGTTTTAAACAGTGATACAGCTGATAACTTCCTCCTTAAAAACTTCCTTTTCTCCACTGGTAGAACATCACAATTTCCTGGTTTTCCTCTTTAGTCTGTGATCTCTTATCCGTCTGCTGAGTTTCTCTTCATTTTCCCATGTATTGAGAAGGCAGAAATTCTTATAAGCTTGTTCACTATTATACCTAGTAGGCTTGAAAAACACCTAAGATCATACTTATTAACAACTGTGAAATGAACAAATGAATGAGTCCCTTGTTATGATTTATATTTAGGTGGCCTTCCAAAGGCTCATGCGCTCATGAGGAGGCTTTTTGGGAGGTGACTGGATCATGGGGGCATGATACTCATCAGTGGATTAGTCCATTCATAATTTTATAGCTAAATGAGATATAGGGAACTGAAGCCTGGTCAGAGGAGGTGAGTCACTGGGGAATGGCCTCAGAAGAGTGTACCTCTCTCCCTCATCCCTTGATCTCTCTCTGCTTCCTGTGTTTCATGCTATGAGCAATCTCCTCTGCCGTGCCCCTCTGCCATACTATTCTGTCTTGGAGCCAGCCAACTATAGCCAACCTTTAAGAATCATGAACCAAAATAAACCTTGTCTCCTTTAACTTGTGGATGTTGGGTATTTTGTCCCAGCAATGAGAAAAGTAACTAAGACACACTCCAAGGCTCAGAGATTCCAATCTTTTCTCTACCTAAATGCACTCCCCTGACAATCTCACCCGCCTCATAATTTTACATGCCAGTTGAAAATAAGCTAATATCTCATTCTATGTAGACATCCTGCCTAAATGTTTGGCTTTTCCCCAAACGTGCTCCACCAATTTCCATTTGTTACTAGTAACTTCATTCTTTAGTTCTTCAAGCCATAAACTTTATTCTTTATGCTTCTGTTTTTGTGTTCATATCAAATAACCAGCCAACACTACAGGTCTACCCTGAAAACAGATCCAAACTCAAACCACCCTGTGGCAGGTAGGGTGAACCTCAATCCCAGGGAACTGGTGAAGCACACTTCTGGATAGGTCATGGAGGAATGGTGGTCCCTTGTCCCTTCCACTGTGGCACACTTCCTTGACTCTGGTCCCCTGCCTCACCCTTCTTCTATGATGTCTCTGCCTTGGAGCCAGGTGATCATAAGCTGAAACTGTCAGCAAATTAAATCTTTCTTCCTTTAACATGCAGCTATCTAGTATTGTGCCCAGCAACAGGAAAGCTAATACAACTTCTCACCACTTCATCTTGCTATATATATAATCTTAGTCAAAGCCTCTCTCACCTGGAACACTACAATAGAACTACCTGACCAATGATCTTCTGTCTTACTTCTATCTTGCAACCCTGGTCTAAGGCCCCACAAAGTAGTCAGAGACATTCTTTTGAAACATCAATCAGATTATATCATTCCTCTGCTACAAACTCCACAATGGCTCCCAACCATAATCAAACAGACACTGTCCAATGATCTACAAACCTCCCAAACCCCCTATCCCCATATCCCTTGTCCTTTTTTCTTGCTTCATTTGTCTTCACGGCATTTATCAACTCCTAATATATATGTACAGATCATTCCTTTAGTTATTTTATCATCTGTCTCCTTAACTAAAATAAAAGCTGCATCAAAGTTCAGATTTTTGTTAGCTTTTTTTGTTAGCTTATTGCCAACATCTAGAAATCTTATACATAATATTTGCTCAGTGTATTAAGTGAATGAACAAATAGCATTTACAGTAGAAAATTCAACAGATGTTAGCAAATCCACTAACTGCTCTAACTATGAGTTAACTCACTTAAAAACACCATAAGAAGTTAGGTACTGGGCCGGGGATTTAGCTCAGCAGTTCGGTGGCCTGCCTTGCAAGCACAAGGACCTGAGTTCAATCCCCAGTACAAAAAAAAAAAAAAAAAGAAGAAGAAGAAGAAGAAGAGAAGTTAGATACTACTGTTTTTATTTCCATTCCAGAAATGAAGAAATAAAGGCACAGGTTAAGATTAAGAAACTAAGGTTGAAAAGTTTGCCTAGGTCATATAATGGCAGAGGTAGGATTTGAACTAAGGCACTGATAATATGAGAGACCACACTCCAAGGTGCTAGAAGACCAGAGGATCATAATCATTACGTTAATTTATTTTATTGTATTGTACTGTTCCAAAAATTGGTAATCAAAGTACCTGTTGTTATTTGATTAACCTGAGACTTAGTTCCCTGATCTCTCCCCATAAACTTAGTTCCTGGTAAAATATGTGTAAAATGCACATTTAACGACTCTCATACTACTTCTAAAAGCATAAACATGGAGTAAAACAGAGCAACTATTGCTATGAGAACCTTCAGTTTTTAAGTTTCAGTATTCACGCTGAATTAACTGACTGTCGTTTATGACTAGCAAAGAAAAAAAGAACATCTCAGTAATTCAACAGGAAGATTACAGAAATGAATGGCAACCAACATTTCTTCAAAAAAAAAAGGATGATTTTTGGTACAAGAACTTCTAACCAGGTCTCTAAATAGGTTGCTTCTACCTTAAATCATATGATTTCATTCCTATGAGGAGAAGAATTACATCACTGTCAACCATGCAAATGTCATTTTAGGTGTACACTCAAAATTTCACCCAATATCTCATTTCCAATTAATTAAATAAAAGTATAATTTAAAAATCAAAACTAAACGTGGATTTTTAATTTTCCTTCCAAACAGTCCAAAATCAAAATTACTATACCAACTTATCATTCAATCTGTCTGAATATGACTAATTTAATCTTTTATTCATAATTACAAATTGGAGCACACACTTTCTCACTTAATAGATATTATATCCTCTGCCCCACAAACCATAAGTATGGAGGAGATAATAGTCTACTCATTAAGTAAATATGTAAAAAAGACAATGATCTGCAACTACTGAAATCAATCTGTAAATTACTCTCTTGGGTTACAGGAAAGCACTTTATTGGCAATTTTCCCAAATAAACTGAGTAAGCCTTGAGAAAATAACTACTTATATTCCATTTCATGACAATCTCTCTTCCTCCGTAAGTGAATTAAAAGTCATCACTACTTCTATCCATTACATAATACATGTCCATGATAGGACCTGTTTTCTGAAAAAGAAATAGCTTATATGACACTGATAGGTAAAGACTGAATACTGTAACTGAGTAGGAAATACAAATCCAGAAAAGATTCAAATTTACTACGCTAAGTTGTGAAATACTGATGTAAAGAACAGTAAACATTCTTGACTGTCAGTAATATCTCCCAACAAAGTTAGATACATGCTGTCAAATGTCATTAAAGAGCATTTTAAAAGTACTGTACTTTATTCCGAGAATATTTCTGGGAAGCTGACGGACTGACCTACAAAAAACATCAATTTTCTTTTTTAAAGTTTTAATAAAAACTGCAATAAATACACCGTCCACTGGGAAAGAAACGCCAAGAATTCAGCGTTAAACACAAAATGTCCAGATATCAAGGTCTACTGAAAAGATGTTAAAAGACCGCTAAGAAAACATACGAACTTGTCATACAATTAGCTCCAAAAGAAATGTTCGTTTTACCCACCCAAAGGAGTCAACTACAACCACCTGCAACTATCAGAAATGTGTCATCTAAACAAAGCAACTAACCTGAGTCTCAGGTTGTCTCCTAGGGGGTCAGAATAAAGCTATTTTTTTAAGTGGAATAAAGAGAACTTTAACGCACAAGGAGAAAGAAGTAAAATGCAAGGAGAGCGAAGGAGAGAAGAAAGAGAAAAGAAAATTTTAAACCTGGAAAACACCTTTAAGGAACTAATTGTGATACCTAATGGTGGCTGCCAGAATGAAGTTTAAACCGACATCTCCTTCTTCTTGGCTGTTAAACTTCAGATCCATCCACGCTCATAATTTATCTACCCAATAAAGAAAAAGGTTTATCTTTCCTCCCGGAACCCCTACTCACCCCGCCAGAAGAAAAACAAACAGAATCAAACCCTAAAGTAGAAATCTGAGATCTATACAATAGTTTCCTCAACTGCCTCAAAGGCAACATCCACAGATCATCCTCCTTTAGAAATACAATCATACATCTTCTATCCCATTTCCAAAAGAAAAAAAATAAAAAATAAAAAAATAAAAGAGGGTCATCTTCAACATTTTACATTAGCCACAAGAACCACAGATCCACCCAGACCGCACCCCAGCCTCGGGACTCCCCGGTTTCTTGTCTTCCCGCTACCCTTGCCCGCAACATCACGCCTCACAACCTCCCGCCCGCCGTCCTCCGCGCGCCCGAATCCCCCACTTCTTCCTCTAGCCTGGGGTCCCAGCCGCCGCGGCTTCAGATCCCGCCCCACCCCGGAGCTGCAGG